TGGCTTGTCTGGAAACAGCAAGACTAATTGCCATGCGCTTCCGGTTTGAAACTGGCAGCAGACAACATCTTGAAAATGAGTCACTGCAGCTCACAAAGAAACTCTGTGGTTTTCTCCCTCTCAGGTTTATATATTTGCTCCTTTTTACAGTTTCCTTTGTAGTCTTCTGCGTTCTCCCTGGCCCTCCCCACTTTTCTTAGCCGCCCCCTGCCCCAAGACCCCTCGGCCGACATGGATAGTTTCCATGACCAACCGAAAAAACACTAAAAATGTTTGTAAGGGGGGGGGGGGGAGGGGGGGGGGGGGGGAGAGAGAGAAAGGGAGAGAAAGTGGAGAGTTGTTTTTGGATCTGGCTTTGCTGAAGGTTAGAGGGACTCTGATGCTGCAGGGGGAAAAAGTTCCCTGAATTTTCCACTGGCTGCAGGAAGAGAGCCCATTTAGTCATGGCTAAGTAATGTCTGCACACACACCAACTAATCTCATTAGGAGTTTCCGTTCCCTAACACAGGAGGGTTTTGTGAAGCCCTGTCAGCCTTTCTAACATTGCAGTTGAAAGGGAGACAACTTACATCTTTATTTACTTAGAGGTGTAGTGCTAAGACAAGTTTATACAATGCAGCATCTTTTTGGTCATGAGGACTCCAACTTCAAAAGTCAGTGGTTTCATTTAATTTCAAGCAGAAAGTCATGGTTCATCTCATATTTTGCTCATACAGACTTTTCGATTATTTCAGATTAAATGTAATTTATGCATAAATAGTTTCGTAGGGTGAAGTTCAGAAATGGGGTACACAGAAGGCTGTTACGATAAGCATGTTCTATGCATCTGTGACATTTGTATGTAATTGCATCATTAAAAGACTCTTGTGCCAAGATACCGAGGTGATGGGCATGTTTGAAAAGTATATTCACTCACATAACCTTGCTGTATTGGTGCTTTACATATTTAATTTCCAAGTGATATTTATTTTGTACATATCACTTGTCTTAGTGGTCTGTGTAATCATTTAGTGATGATTTATTTTTATAGCCGTCATGAAAAAAGTCTGTGTTCAGAATTAGAAAGATTTTTGCCATGCCCCACTGATCTTTAATGTAAATTAGAAGTTAACAACTTTTTGCAAAAAAAGTCTGGAGCAAACAAAGAAAATGGAGTCTTGCTTGCAAGTGGGTTTTAACTTAAAGAAATGTCAAAAAATGTGAATAAAATTGCATGTAATAGGAAATAACACTTGGCTGCTTACTTGAATTATCATGTGATAGCATTAAACTAGCAAATATTGTGTGAAGAAGTAGTACTTGGAGAGCTAATTGCAGTATACCACGTGTTTACCTTTGAGGATCTTCAGTGTTTCCTGTACTTCCTATGTCCAAGCTGCACAGAAAAGTTCTTCATTAACATCACTTTACAGAGGACTTTTATTAGTGGATTGGTGACACAATCTCCAGACACAGATGCCTCTTGATTTCCTAGTTGGGCAGAGAAGAATTTTTAGAATAGTATGTAAAACAGAAAATGCCTAATCTCTGTTTCAATCAAATGCAGTCATCAGGTAGTGAGAGCTATTTTCCGGTTTTGGAATTTTATTTCTTTTGTAAAATTCTAAATTTTAGAGAGAGAGGTGCATTACTGGGCACAACGTTCAAAAATCTGTTTAATATGTTATGGAACAGTTAGTGTGGCGTACAACACCAAAATTCTTACTGAAGAGTGTTCCCTAGCTCTTATTATGTCTCTTTGAAATATGGACATTAAATTGTCCACTTATTGTATTAAGTATTACTGGAATTTCAGTGTGCCATCTGCTGAATCAGTGCAGATGAAGCACACACATTCATACATACAGATATATATATAGTCTATCTACACTATATAAATTTCATGTATTGTATTCACTCAGCATAAGTAAAAACATCTTGATGTCCTCATAGAAAAACAGATGTAGTAGTAGTAGTGTACTGGTTGTGTGTTCTGTATATTTGAAAGAGTGAATGAGAAGTAATCCATAGATGTGTTAAAAATACAACAGTTCTGTTTGGAACAGAAAGAAGATCCAAATATCAAATAGTGCATGATGGTTTCCACTCAAATAATAAAAATGTCTTAAAGGTGTTTTCACTGTAAGTATGATTTTATTCTTTACCTGTTTTAATTTACGAAATATAAAAGTGTGTGAGAAGAATATATACTGTCTGCTAAGGGATGAGATATTACCATAATTGCTTGTATCTCGATTTTCCAAATCACCTCCGTGAGTTGTTCCTAAAAAGAAAAAACCTACAGGCTTATATCCTTTCTGATATCACCAACTCCGCCTAGATGCAACAGCTGAAATAAGCAACACAATCTCAGGGGGAGAAACTCAGCTACAGCCTTCCTTGGAACTGTGTTTAGGAACCACTACACGCATGGATGCCTTCATATGTAGAAACATTTTGTTTTATTCATTAGCAGTTCGCACTGCTTACTGATTCGCACTGGTTCTTTGCTCCTGTTACTTAATGTTATTTCATTAAACTTGAATCATGAAAACAAATCAAGTATCTCACTCCAAAGACTGAAGTATTCCCCTTTGCTGTGCACGAAGTCCAGTCATGTAAACTTTACCTTCTGGTTGTAATGCCCTTCTTGGGATGGAGGCCAGCTTCAGGGTGTGTTATGATGGAGGTATTCTTATGGGAAGGTATTACTGCTCAAGTGACTTACATAACTGAAGCTGAAATCTACCTTAGTTTAAAAATCTGTTCTGGAGGACTTAGCACAGAATGAAAGCCATTTTGCAGGTTCACCAAGGTGCATGGAGCTTGTTGCTTGCTCTGAGGGTCGTATGTTTACATGTAGGAAGATAGGTATATATAATACTTATGGACACTGAGGTCCATCAGCTGTTACAGAAAATGCAAATCTTTGCCTTGGGAATGCAATCACATGACAAAATGTTGCTTCGGAAAAATCAAAGAAAAGAAATAGACGCCGAAATAAAAAGTCATTTGGCTGCTAAAGATAAGGGAGAGTGGGATAAGGCTGGGAGAACCAACATACAATTATTTGTGATGCATGTATTTATAAAGTTATTTTAGGTGCTATATCTTGGTGACCATATAAAATTTGTATGCTTATGTAGTTACGGTTATCTCTGTGAGTGGTTCTCTGTCATAGTACTTAAATAATCTAAGATAGCAAAGAACTGATAGTATTTCCTACAAAGATACGGCAGGTTGGACTCATCTGTGCAATTCAGACTGTTTATCAGTCCGTGGTTTTCTTCTGGTGGCGGTGGCTCCAATGTGCAGCATGCCTGGACGCTGCTGCTTGAATCCATCTTAGAGCCGTGACACTGATTATAGGACACTGTTAGCTTGGGCCAGTTTCAAAGAGTACTGTTGGTTTTGAGTTGCTGTGTATCTTTTGTAACCACACCCGATGGTTCATGCAACAGGCTGTAACTTACGGGCCTTTGAAAATCACGTTGTGCTGTGTATCCTCGGGTTGATTCACCATGGCTTTCTCCTCCGTGTTTCCCACAATAGGGAATCTCACAGTCTTGAATCGTTAGACAGATGTTTACTTCATCTGTGGCTCGTTAAATGAATCAACTAATATTCTGGAGGCTGTTGAGAGCTCTTGAAAGACTGAATACGTCGGTTCTCATGTTGAAGTATTTTGTTGAATAATGAATGATTCAAGACTTAGTCATGATTTTGAGGAGAATGTCAAGGTGTAGGTACAGGAAGTCCAGCTCACTGCACTGCAAAATACAAGGCCGCATGTATGAAAACAAAGCAGATGAAGCACAAAGTACCTCTTATCTGTGCACTTCACAAAAAGAAAGTGCATCTTTGTTCTTAAAACTTTCTTTAAGTCACTGTGGTTTTATAAACCAGTAATTATATCAGAATTCAAATTCTTCAGGGTTTGCTGTTAAGAGTGGATTTTAATTCAGAAGCTCTTTGAAGGAGACTTGCTGCTTTTCTAAAAGCAAAAACTAAGGAAAATACTTGACATAAGCATTGATATGAAAATATCGCTAAGGCACTACCTGCCAGTTAATTCAATGCCAATTAATAACTCTGTAGTCATTCTGCATTTTTAATTTTGTATGAATACTGTGGTAGTTTTTGCAGTACCAAAAAGTACCCTGGAATTGTTGATCTGCTTAATCAGTGTAATTCGTGGTCAGTATCTCACAGTGTACTGA